GACAATGAGATGCGCATTACCAGCTCGATAAGTCTCGCGCATTGTTCTTCCGCCTCGTTTTCACTGGCTCTTCTTCTTCCTCTTCTTTTTCCTGGCTTGTACTGATTTTTTTTTCTCTCGCTTTTTTTTTTTTTTTTTTGGAACTTGGTTCTTTCTTGTCCAGGCTCGCCGGATGCTACGAACGCCCACCTGACGCAGGTGTGCTGCTTCCCTATAAACATTGGCCTTGTTGGATGAGCGTAGATGGTTGTAGGCCTGGGTTTTTCTCGAGCGATCGAGCCCATGTTTTATTTTTTGTTTCCGAGTGCTGGTCAAATATGGAGGCGGGAATGCAAATGCGGAGAAGGGACTGATTTCGGAGCGACGTTGGCGGAGTTCCTTCCCGTCAACGTCACGCTTTGTTTGCATTTCATTCGAAATTATTTACCTTTATTTTTGGTCAAGGGTTTGCGATTAGCGAGGTTGGAGGCCCTTGAGAAAATTTGAGTCTTTGTGTAAACTTTCGCGTTTTTTTTTAAATACTGTACCGAAGTTTTCCGCTCCCGTGAAGGTTGTCCGAAATCCACGGAAACGGATGGATTGAATTTTTATTTTCTGTATTCCTGGCTTAAATCAAATATTTTCGCTCCCATGCAAGCTGCGTCGGAGAATCGAATACAATAGGGGCTTCATAAGTTTGTTCTACTGATCAATTGGATTCCCATGTTGAACTGTTTGAATGAATGAAGATTGACGTAATTTTGAAGGAGAAATATTTCATCATTTCCGGACCACTGTCCAATTTTTGCTCTCAGAGGTTTGAATATATATATTAGATTAATGTTCAAAATACAGTGCCCTGCATCATTATAAATAATTTATGTTCACGTTCCACGCAAGCCTATTTTAATACTTCGCAGACAGTTGATGCTGTAAGTGAGACGAAAAACTTGACATGCAGCACCTTTAGTCGAAAAATTTTCACAAACTTACAGATCTAGAAATCAAGTTCTACGAAATTAAAATTTTTTTCGAATTGTAACAATTTTAGTCTTGATGCTCCGGGTAAAACTGCCTTACATTGTCAGTCACTCAGGAAGGCGTCACATCCGAGTTAGGACTTGAATTGAAGAAAATCCACGGCAAAGCGAAACAGAAGCAAAACATTTTTGCAGGAAGTTTTTCTTAACATGGTTTGGAGTATTTTTCTTCCAACCATCCGAACCATGTTCAGAAAAATAAAAAATATAACAAAGAAAGCAAAACAAAGAAAAATATAATGTAACAAGAAAAATATCTTGTCGTTTGAGCACTCGAACGACAAGGTATAGAAACTACATGAAGTTTCAATGCTTCTCTTAAAGCGAATTTCGTTTTGCGGGAAAAGTATGTGTTAGATATGTCCGTTACTCATGAATTTTGACCGAACGTGTTTGAAGACGATTTTTTTTCCAGAAAATTTCAAGTTCATTGTGATTCAGCATCGTGTCAGTTATCCCGTACTCCGAGATGCGTTAAATTAAACGAGTAGGATAATGGGCAGGACGCTTATTTGCGGAAGTTCGTTATTCCGAAATATGATCCCACGAGAGAGTTCCGTCTCTTTCGGACTATCGTCTTTCGGGTTTCAAGTGGGTTGAAGTGGACTGGACTTACGGACCCGTTGTTCAGTTTTATTTTTCTTCTCTTCAATCTTTCCCAACTTTGAGTTATTGTATTACGTGTGAGCAAATGTCGGCATTCTTTAACTCACGGTCCAAAAGAAAAAAAGAAAAAAAAATGACGGACTGAATCGGAATCTGGTCGACTCGAGGATTTGGCTTCCCCTGTCGTCTCCGGTTGTCGTTTTTATGGGTCATCAGGAGTCGCAGAGGGTGAAATGACATTTTTGTGGCAGCGAAAGTTCCAAATTATTCTCCGCATTTTGATGAGACCCATGGTGGTGAGGGGGGGGGGGTAGGAATTGATTGCTTCTTTTGTCGTTTTTATGGGTCATCAGGAGTCGCAGAGGGTGAAATGACATTTTTGTGGCAGCGAAAGTTCCAAATTATTCTCCGCATTTTGATGAGACCCATGGTGGGGGGGTAGGAATTGATTGCTTCTCGCTTGCTCATGCATTCAGACGAGGACGAACCAGATCGCCGATGGACCGATCGATCGATCGGTGGCTTGTCGCCGCGGAATCGCTCTTGAATAGGAAATGCAAGATGACCATTTGGTTCAAGTGGCTCAAGACTCTGTTGAAAGGACGGATGAGGAGGATACGAGGAAAACTTGGGGTAGGGGGATTGAACAACTGCAAAATTTGTTCGTTGGGATCTTGGGAATGAGGAAATGTGCTTTGTATTTTGGTCAGGGTCTTTTGAATGCGAGTACAGTGGTAGACAATTGAAGTCGAGTGCATGTGCTTATTACTAAAATGATCAAGGACGAAGGTTTGAAGTGTGGAAAAGAAAAAGTCTGACGTGGCGGAATGAACAATTTCGGATCAAGCCCATCCCTCTTCCTGAAACTTGATAGCGGCTGTGAGGAAAATGTCCGTTGATTATTCTCTGCTTTAAAAAAAAAATCGTGTGTTTTCATGGCGATTTTTTTTCTTTTGAATGCCAACTTCAAATTACAGTCGAACTTCAAGCGACCAGCAAAAAAAAATGTGAGGAAAATGTCCGTTAATTATTCTCTGCTTTAAAAAAAAAGTCGTGTGTTTTCATGGCGATTTTTTTTCTTTTGAATGCCAACTTCAAATTACAGTCGAACTTCAAGCGACCAGCAAAAAAAAAATCTTCAAGGAAACTAGTACAGTATTTGGGGGGGCTAATTTCAGAACATTGTGATTGGTGATATTCTGGGCCTTAAATTGTTACTCGAAAAAGTTCACAGCATGCGGAACTTTGAGTCAAGGGTTCAGTTGCCCATGAAATAGTCTTCGACGTCTTTTCAGAACCCATCAAGACGGCATTTTTCTTCCTTTTCTCTTTCCTGTTTAAATAAAATACTGTAGTAGTCAAAAAGGTCAAGAAAATTCGAGTCAGAAAGATTTTAAATACCGTACTTTGTTTGTAAGGGAATTCCGAAAGGGACTTGAAAAAAATTCTGCATGAAGATTTACGGTATCCAACTGAGGGAGGTTCGAGTTATCGAGGTTAAACGGTAATGTATTCGAAAATGAGAAACCATTTGGTAATTGCGAATGCAGTATTCGCAGTTACTGCCGTCTCTGTGAGACCGGTGCGATTTCCGTGTGCAATCTGATGCATAAATGTTTTGCACAATTCATCAAGCGAAAGTAGAACTGTTCCGATCATCAGTTCGTTCCGAAATATATTCGCAATTACTGTATTGGATATCCTCTCTCGCAAATTTCTTGAAAAATTTCCACGCACGCTTTTCCACCTTTGTGTCATGAATGGTGGAAGAAGGAAACGGCTTTCACCAGTGGTTGAACCGTTCAACCATGACTTCTGGGTTGATGATCTTTTGAGCTCCATGGGAGGTCTCACTATACGAATGGGTATACCAAGAAAATAACCGTTCGCCGCGAAATTAATTTCAAGCATTTCGAATTTGTTAAAGGCATTCATGTACAAAAGAGAACGCACGAGTGTTGTACGTTTATTGTAAAATTCAGTACAGTATTTCAAAAAGTTTGAGAAAACAATTTGGGATTACTGATTAATTTTTCGAAGAACTGATGATGTATTTTCGGAACTGCGCTGGGAAATCACACTCCTTGCACATAAGACCGTCTTATATCGACCGACGTTTCATTTTTATTAATTCCAAGCTTTCAACCGTGAAGTTCCAGATTTCCTTTCTACGTCGTTGGATGTGTTCGTGACGTAATTAAGCTATTCCCTTTTTTCTCCTGAAGATAGAAGAAAAAAATCATTAGGACTCCGTGCAATGCGCGTTGCGCAATCGCACGAAACCTTCACGATACTGCATCTTGTCCATCAGACTGTGTTTCAACGTATGAAAAATGCTGCTTTGGTTGCCGAGTTGCAATTTCTTGTCTGACAAAATACCCCTTATTGTGATTGCATTGGGCTTGTAAGTAGGTATGTGGACGAAGTTATTGCGCCTTGGGCACTTGTCCAAATGAGCCTTAATTGCGCTCTTGCAGCGAATGCGCAAGTTCCTTCATTCTTTCTCAAAATTGCATCTCGAATGGGGGATTAAATCTCCTCTTTTATTTTTCTCTCTATATATGTATATATTTTTCTCTCTCTATCGCCCGCGGTCGCAGTTCGATTGACCTTATTTTAATCGCAGCGAAGGTTCTCTCTAAGGTCAAAGGGCTCGGCTTAGAAGAGCTCGGTTGCCGACGCAGCGAGCTCCGTACATTTGGAAGCTGAGATATACGCGAAGGCAATTAAAAGCGTGTGCGTTTCTTTCTTTTTTGAAGAATAAAATAAAATAAGGAAATAAATAAAATAAGTCACGAGTTCAGGCGATTTTCTTCTTGCTGCGAATACGAGCGACTGACTGACTGACTATGTACGCGTGTGAGATGCGAAAGCACGTTCTGCGTGTGGCGTCGTGAGTCGAGTCGAGTTGCGTTGCGTTGCGTTTCCCCTTCGGCATCCGGCCTGAAGACGAACGAAGTAATGGAAATCCTGTACGAAGCCATGTTGTTGGAACTCCCATTCTTTCACGTAGAATGTGCCGATTTTATTTTTGTTTGAGGTATTTTGTGATTTTTAGTTGCCCTGAACGTCAGAGAGAGAGCGCGAGAGCTGCGCTGTGTTCTGGGGATGATGATTTGCTGTGGTCTAATTCCACGCCTGATTATAACCTGAAGTTGTATGGGTTCATATGTTGTGGGGCCCCAAGATGCGGACCTAATTAGTGCTTGGACCTTGTCCCTATATATCAGAGTATCCGTATGTCGGATCACGTTTTCCCATAAACTTCAATGGGAACATGCAGTATTTGATCGGTTCTCCAGTTCACCAATCAAGGATTAAAGTCCCGAAAAATTTTCACAACATTTTTTCTCACCGTGAAAAAACAGAAAATAAATGCCGAAGAAACCCACACAGAATCCAGTATGATCTTCTGGCCTCAAAAGAAGCCCATAAAACAAAGAATGAGAAGAAGTCTTGCTTTACAGTGTACACATGATGGAAAAACTCCCAGAATAAACAAAATTAGTCTGTTTTTTAAATATAAATGTGAGTACAATTTTATTGAAATTTATGTTAAATTTGTTTGAAGATAAATACAGTAGCTAAATTCAAGAGATATCCAAATGTTGAAAAATAAAAATTTCCCGTTTTTAAATAAATGTTGGAGGAGTGTCCATATCTCGAGACATTTTCCAGATTTAAAGGCAGATTTTTTTTTTTTTTTTAGCTCCAAGTCCCCCTAAGTTGAATCGCCCATATGTCGGAGTCCCACTGTATTCCTCATTGTAATGCTACTGTAATAATTTACTGTAGTAATGAATACCTATGATTTTAATGTATCAAGGAATGCTGATTTATCTTTGCATTAGGTAAACCATTTTTAGGAAGCACACATGGTCACAATGCACAACTGCAGGAAACGCCAAGAAATACCCAAGACTCGTACTAATACTGTAATGAAATTAAAATAAAATGAGTCAACATGAATTCATCTAAACGGAGCAAAGGATCGGGGATACTGAGGACCTTCCTTAGACGATTCATATTTTTGGCGAACATTTTGAGAAAGTACGAGAAGTTCTTTGACAACTCGACAAAGTGAGCGATTTACATCCAAGTTATAATGAACACATTCCACCTTTTATATGCAATTCTCCAGTTAACGCTCCGCAGATGAACCGTCGTGGGCATAATTTATCGCACTGTAGTTTTTACTGATGAGGCAAGTTGATTGCGGTTCAGCATGCTATCCGAGAGTGTGCTTCCATATATTGTACTGTAATGTACATGTCTTCTGGAAACTTCAGCTTTTAGAAGTCCGTTGGTCCTAGTCTTTTTTTTTTTTTTTTTTTGACTGTATGTCGAATGTTCCATCTTTTACGTCGGCATTGCGAAGCACAGGACCGTGAAAATTCCCGAGATGCCCCCTTAATTGCGCCGGGGGGAAAATTGGACTCGATTTTTCGTTTTTAGGTCGAACGAATTTCCTTGTCGTCCTCCGTATGTCCCATTATTTGCCAACTGACAGCCGGAGAATTGGTTCTGATGATTGGAAACGAAGTCCATGTGTCCCTTGGATTGCTTGCAATAGCATTTCTACTCGACGCATTTCTCTTGAGGTTATTCATTGCACTAAAACTCCAATTACATGCCCTCATGCGGGTCAATTGTGCTTTTCAACTTTGCCGAAATGTCGATGCATTTCGAGGAAATGAAACTGTATGAATGGTTTTATTCATTTTTTACTTTCATTTCCTCTGATTGACCTGGCATGGAGATTCCAATAAGTCGACAAATTAGAAATCCGATTCACCCAGCTTTGCTTAATCACTCCGTAATTCAAATTCATTGAAGAAACGAAAGCGGTGAACATGTTTTGTAATTTTAACTCGAGTCACTTCATTTGACTCTTGCTTTATGAATTAACTTGCTTCTTGCATTTCGAAATTTGCAGGAATGATATGCCAGACCTTCTTTTAGACTTTTTAATCGCTATCATTCTCATGATTTGATGATCGACGCTTTGCTATTCGTTAATTTTGATGTATCGGTTTATGAATAACAATTGTAAAGCATTTCGAGATTTGTGCGGATATCGGGGTTGTTTTGTCAGGTCCATGTTGAAAAAGTTCTTCAATATCCGTCAAACCATTAGGCGGGAAAGTTATTATTTTCATTTCTGCAATTTTTCTGCAGCATACAATTTTCAACGCTAAGGGACCGAACAATACTTGGGTTTAGAGTAACTCAAAACCAAGGACCACCGTAGGGTTCTATGATTTTTAAATGCGTTGTTTTCGTAAATTAATGCATTTTTAAGAACACAGTAAGTATGTAAGAGATTGGATTCTGTGTGTGTGTACCTGTCCGCTGTTCGGAATTTTCATTCTCGACTCCAGTGGAAAAGAAATATTGACGGAGATTCGGTCGAGGCTTGGTTTAATGAAAGGAAACAGTCGAAAATTAATGTTTTCCTGCTCGTCCGTCGTCCGGTGCAGAAAACCTGAGGACATTGAAAGGACCCGGGGGAAATGGGATTAATCGGTTTTCTTTCCTCACGCATTTTCATTGCTGTCGTGTGATCATTGTCTCCCAGTTGCAGCTTTGTTTCCTATGCTTAAAAAGTAATGTGTTGGTTTTGAACAGGAAGGAGATCTCCATCTCCTCTGTTTGTTATTTCGCCGGGAAAGCGAGGATGTAATTATCTCTTCATATCCGTCGTTACGGCGCAGTTTGTCGGTACTGCTGGCGACCACGTGCTAGTGTTTATTTGGCTTGATGAACTTGTCTTCCTGTGATGGAGAAAGAAATTGGAAGATGGGGATTTGATTGGCGGCAAAGCCGTTTTGGAAGTCCTTTCTTTCCTCATCTTGTTCTTACTTTGTGGTCAGTTTCTTCCTTGCGTTTACGAGTCATCAATCGTCTTAGTCTGGGATTATCTGTATGATCATTTAGTATCTTATATTTTATCTGGCGTTTGTGACTGATATACGACTTGATAATACGTTCGCCCAGTTCTGATTAATGTACCACAAGTTGTTCAGGAATCGTATTGAGATTTTATATTGTTTCACGCCTGTCGATTGTATTGCGAATATAGTTGCACAACATTTCTCAGCTCTCTTGAACTAAAGCTTCTCTGAAATGAGTTGAAGGAAACTGAGGATGTTTGGTTTTTTGATGTGTCTTTGAATTTATATTACGAAGAGACAATTTTGAAAGAAAAATACGTATATCCTGCATGATTGGAAGGGGTAATTGGGGATGTACTGGTGGCCGAGTTTATGTTTCTTATCCATGATTATTCATGGTTTAGAAATCGGGTGAATCGGGTTTTTTTTTCAAATGTGCTAGACAGGAATTGCTCCAACAAATCTTTTGAAATCATCTGATCACTTAAGCAGGGTTATTGTTTTGTTTTGTAATTACTATATTAAAAATAATTACATTGCTCGAGGAAATCAGTTTTGACCCTGCTCGTATCAACGATAAAGGAGTACAATTGAAATGGGATCTACTCGGATTTTTCAAAAATTTTGTCGTTCTTGAACGTCATTCTTAGTTCCATTAAGGCGGAAATTAAGCGCTGCGTTTTCTTCTCGTTCTCTCATCAGTCTTTGCGACGCGTTTATTTTATTTTTTTAATAAATTAAGAATTATTTTCAACGACCAAAAATTATATGCGCTTTTTTCAGTGAGGGAATAGTTCCGTAATGGGGTATTTTACCTTTTCTTTTCTGCATCCTGGTGAGCCAAATTTTAGCTTCAGAATATCTTCGCTAATACAGTACTGTATTTTTAACCGACTTGAACGTTTGTCAAGCGCATTTTGAAATCGTTGAACGATTTGAGAGGCATCTTTGTGACGCGTTCACGACCTCGTCTTGACATGTCGGAATTCAAAGATGACGTTTCATTCGCTTCATATTATGGTGATTTTTTTTGAATGCATCTTTTACTTGAATTATATCAGAAAAATTGTCGAATTGCTTCAGCTCATTGAGGAGGTTAATGTCGAGTTATCAGCAATTTTCAGACCAGAACAAATTTTTGACGCGTTTTTCCGAGTTAGATCCTTCGCACCAATGGTCTCGTATTTTTACGTGAGTTTTTTTTCCTTTCTTTCATAACTGATAAACGTCTTTAAATTCAGGATAGCTTTTCCTCTTCTAAGCTCGGGCGATTCACCCGTCACTTGCTCCGAAAAAAAACAGTAATATTTCGAGGAGTAATGTGCGTATTATCATCAGGCTTTATATCGAAGTAAGTAGAGGTACGGGAAATGAAGCACCAAAAAAAAAAAAAAAAAACCCTGGCATCATTCCAACGACCTCAATTGCTCGGCTATTGGAAAGAGGGAAGGGAATATTTTTGGCATTTTTCGAATTATTACGTATGGCTGGCGCCTCGGAAGGATGAAGAAATAAATGGCGTCCTCGGGACAACGATTACTGTCAAGTGCCACGGGAGACACAGAAATTCTTGTATTCTCGTTGAAAACAATTCCGTATCTCTATTTTACGTTAAATTGGGGGTGAATGAATCACCCTAGGATTCGCCCCGAGAAGTCCAAAAAGATGTCCTTTTCCGAAGTACAGTACAGTACTGGCAACTGGCGATGATGTCGGATTTTCCCTTCTTCCTTCAAATAAATTTTCATTACTATGCCAAGAAAAATATTAACTTTTTATGTGTCCGAAAGAAATTTAATGAACGCGAGAAAATCGTTATAAATATGATGACTGCGGGTTCATTAAAATATAATTATTTTTTGTGCCGCACGTATACAATTTGGATTGATGTTATATCTCCAGAAATGCCGGCGGGACTCGAGGCGCTAGCCCAGGGAAGGCGTCGGTGCATTTCGCAGAGACGGTGGACAAAACGGCGACCTCGGCTGGTGGCGGCGGTGCTAAAGCGAATGGATCGCCAGCGAACGGTAACGGGCATTACGGTGCAAATGGCACTTCACGTAGTCCGAAATCAAAGGTAAACTCGGGTCACGGAGCCAAAGATTCGCGACCCTTTGACGCGTACATGACGCTGAACCAGGTTCAGCGTGGGCTCAGGAAAGGCGAGCTGATTGAGGTGAGACCCTGCCAAAAAAACAAGATTTTTTTCTTTCTTTTTATTTCCTGTCGTTTTATCCTCTTGTCTTTTCGTTCCTTCCGTTTATCCCATTTTTCGCGGTGTGATTTTTGAGCGTGACATCTTCGAGGATTTTCCCATCAGATTTCTTGCACGCGAGCATCGCTGTCTAATGAGTTATACTGTACTTCGTGCTTTTTTTTTTTTTTCAAGGCAAAACGTACGTAAAAATAACTTCGGAATTTTAAATTAGAAAAAGATTGCGGTTGAATTTTTGCCGCTTTTAGATATTTGAACGCAAGCCTTCAGACTATTTTGCGAATTCGAGTACGAATGAGCTTGTGCAAAATCTGTGTTCAAACCACTGCTGCCACACTATTCATCATGCACGGATTCCTTCTTGAACCGTCTTTAATTATGAACCTGTTTTTTAAATCAAGAAGTGGGATTATTTGATGGAGCCGGAATTGTGGTTAAAGCATAGCTTTGAACATCGCTTTTTATGGAAGGAATTTGCGGATTCGCCTTGCTAAAAAAAATTTGAGAAACTTAGTGAATTTGGCATCGGAAAAAATTGTCAAGTCAATTTCGTTCAACCGTTCATGGACTGCTGGAGTTATGTACCATGTATTCATATTTTATTCAGTTGAGAGGTGGTAGCAGCATTTTCTGTAACATTGCTCGTCACGAAGTTGTGAAAATACTTGAAACCAAGTCGTAGAGCGACAGGAGTAGTTTTTTCCTCGACAAATGCGGAATAGAAATCGTTTATCAGTTACTTTTTTTGTGTTTATATACTGTATTTAGTTAGTTGAAGGCAATGTATTCGGGCGGAAGTTGTGCCCGCTGTCTGATGAGACGCAAAACTGAGGCGACGTTGGTGTCGCGTGGCTTTTTCGTGGGCGACATTCGTCGAAGTCCCGTGTCCGTAAAATAAAGAAGCTCCGCGTGACGTCCACTGCGGTGTTCCGCAAAGACTTTTTCATTGGTTTTCCTAACTAGCCGGGAAAAAAAATAAACGAAAGAAATTGTTCTGCTCAGCGTGACGTCGAGCAGCGAACGCGGAGATATTATCTGAGGGAAAATTTTAACGTTTTCTTTGCAATCGATCTAGGATCAGCTTCTTTTCTTTGTCGCGTTCTGACGGGTATAGTTTTTGAATAAATTGGTCCTAGACTTGTGGCGTTTGAAAATACCGGAACAGATGCGTTACTTTTTGTAAAATTCAGTTGCCTTGGGTTTTTTGACTGATGCAATTGCTAGAAAACTAAATAAGACTTCGAATTGCTTTCAGTAATGAAGAGGCTCATTAGGAATGACACAAAATTGTCCATAAATGGCTGCTCACCGCGATTTCATTTTTCTAAGTAATATCTGAACGTAGTTCTGAGTTTCATGTTGAATATATGAACTCATCGCTTCTAGTCAAAGAACATGCGTCAGTTTTCAAGACGCATTGAACGCTTAAGTTTTAGGAATCCGTGAGAGCCAAAAAAATTTCCGTTAATCCGGTTGGATTCGAATTCAGCTCAGACTCAAAGAATATTATTGGAGAAATAAAAACAGAATCGAATTGAATCAAGTCAGATGAATGATGTACAGTAATTCAAAATAAGCACCATTCTACTTCTGAGCTTCTGAAAGCGATTATAGTACTGTACATGAATTTGTCAGGGAATGCCAGGTCGTGGAATGGGTTCTGAGTAATATGTATATTCTAGAAAGGGCCTCGCAACAGAAAATGATTCAAAGAAGAGATCCGTGTATCGAAAGGGTTCGAGAAGCTTTGAGCTACTGGCTGATAATTTTTTTTTTCTCTAGAACAATTTTCGCAGGACATGGTTGTAAAGTCATTCCTTGTGTGTCCAGAGATTTCTATCAAAATCCAAAAATACGTCAATTGTGATGGAATGCGTATGCTTTACTTTTTTATCCTGTCACTTCCGTGATCCGATTGATTTAACGAACGTTCCGACATGTTGACCAATTTGTGATGAGGTGAGCATTTTGTTTTTTACATGCAGGTATTCTGAGTTTTGTCTATAAATACAGCTTTAAAAAAGCGTTCATGTACCAGCGACAACATATTTTTTCACGCTATCTCGGACTTCACATTTGGTCAAGTTTATGTTCATTTGACGGCTTTTTCGTGAAGAATTCTTGAAAAATGCCGCTTCTTTTTTAGCGTATATTTTTTCAAGTAGAACCGTTACTCGTAAGGGTTTGTTCGGGAGTTAATGCGAATTAACAGGAAACACGACCAAGAAAGGCTAGGTAAAGCGTTGGTGGAATATGAATAATCTTCCCGACGACGCGGGGGTTGTCATTGAGGAAACCAATGCTAATATGTGTGACAAAACGCATTCGTCAGCACAGGTTCACTTGAGTTCTCGTTGTGATGCGAAGGTACGCCGTGATTTGTGTTACTTTTTCGTCTCTTGAATGAATGAGAAAAAAACCTTGTTATCGACATGCTAATGTAGAGAATATTTCCGTTTTTTGATACGTGGCTTGCTTGATGACGTTTAGGTGGGCCAAAATTAAAATTTACTGTTTTTCAAGTTGTTATAATATCAATTATTGAAAGTGAGGAGTTTAAATGTATACTGTTGAATTACAGTTTCGTGCATCAAATTTTTATACCGATTGAAAGTCCGTTATTTTATAATTACTTTGAAAATAAATCCAAACACGCACCATTCGTATTTTTATACTCAAAATTTTTAATGTCCGAAATTTGTATTTCTTTACGTGCTAATTTTTCGGGGATCGGTTTTTCAAAATGACCTCGGTAACAATTATACGACCGAAAAAATGTATCAAGCGTAATTGAAATCAATTCAATTGAACCTTAATTTGAGTATAGAGTACTTTCAAGTTTTCATTTTACATAAATTATCATTAACTATCCTGTATTATTGTTTGAAAATCCTTTCGATTTGTTACATTTCACCCTGTATAATAATGCCGATGGTCGTTCGGGGTGAATTGTTATTTTTCGTTCCATTGTCTCCCCCGAACAGATCCTATTTTTGTATTTTTTCAAAATTGACCCATCGGAGGAAGATCAAATATCGTGAAGCAGTTGGAATGTCTCCACTCTATTCATAATAGTTAATCTGAAAAAGCTTTTTCAACTGCTCGGAAGGGGAAGAAACCTCGCTTCGGTTGACGGATGCGCGTCGGTTTTTCTTTCTAGTTGACAGGTGTCCTTTGTCAACGATTTTCAACACATGTCTAGTTAGCATGAAAGATGTACCGGATGTGGAAACTCTTGCTGGTAAAGGACAAAGAGTTGGTCGACGGTGGAGAAGGTGAACAGCCCGTTCTTGAGAGCTGGAACTAATTTCCATGCGACTGAACGTTGAGAGGAGCAGTTCCAAAAACGCTCGTTGGTTTTGAAGGCATTTCCAAGTTTTGCGGAACGTTGAAGAAAATCTGTGTTTCTTTTAGTCCTGGCTTTCCTGGGAAAAATTTTTTTTTTAATTGTAAATTTCTTCGAGGCAACTCTTTTTATTGTAAAGGTACAGTTGATCTGCGTAAGGATTTGTTTAACATTTCTACGCATTGAAATGCGCAACGCATCAGAGGGATGTCGATTATTTTGGTGGATGGCTTTTTCAGTCCTAGTTTTTGTTTTAGTCTTGTAACTCTTGTTTAATGGACGAAGACAGACGCTCGATGTTTCCATAGTTACAGTATAATGAATCATTTCCTGAAAATAACGTTCAACTGTAGCAGTCGGATGTCTTTGAAAATTTCGAGGAGGGCTTTTTGTTCAAGCTTTTTTATGCCAACTGTTTCCTTTTATTAAAAAAACTTCAATTATATTGGTTAAAATTCCCCAGATTTGATCACAATATGCTGATGGAAGAAAAATTTATTTTAGCAATTGTTGTATCAGTTATGTTGAATTTGAAAATTGTTAGGTACTACATTTCTCAATTCAGAGCTGCAATGCAAAAAAATCGAGATCACCGATCAAAAGCAACCATTGCCGGTTTATTTTTCTCATCAGTTTGTTCGTGTGGGCGAGTGAATTCGTTGCGAATCAAGAGAAGATTACTGCCTGTTGTCGTTGACGAAGCAAATTTTTTTTACCATGTTGATGCTGAAAATTGTGAACCGAAATAACTTCATTTTTGCCACCGTTGTCAGTTTATTTTTAATCAGTACAGTATGTACGTGTGGGTGACTAAAACCAAGTTTTCCTCTTAAAATATATACTGTATAAATGTTTTTTTAAATTGTGTAAAGAGTGAGATATGGTGCTTTAAATGCTATGCAAGAAAATTCGTATTGTAAGCGGAAAGAATTACTCGGCGGTTCTCTTGAGAACAAAAATGCTAATTAACCCGTTCACTGAATGTCGTGGGCGGCCTGGATTTTCTTGTTTTTATTTAAAACGTATTCCTGACGAGGTTCCGTGACGATTAGCGGCTTGTACCCTGATTTTCCTCGCTTCCGTTCCCACTTGGGATATGCAGTGTCGCGCTCAGTATTTGAATAAATCATCAATGAGTTTGGAAGAATCAGTGAACGCAAAATCGATATCATCTCACCTTGTTCCCGGAAGTTTCATCCGTTCACGACTTCGATGCTGTTCCTGATGGTAAACTAGTCTTTTTTTTCTTCTTCCGTATTCCCCGTAAGATCGAACGTATATTGTGTTGCATTTTATCGAAAGAATTTATTCGGAATTAACCAGAACTTTTTAATTTGGTATTTTATTGGGGAGAGCTAAAGAAATGTTGTCAGTTTACGGAGATGCCCATTATTGAGAAAAAGATAAATTTGAGTCAGAATTAGGAATGTTTCATGCATCCATTCTCTACATGAACAATGTCTCAAATCCTCTATGGTTGTGAGTTATGGAAAATTTCAATTTCTCTGTTTCTCAAAAATGAATGTGATTGACATTTTAGTTGAGCTTGTCTTGTGAGAAAAAGTAGTGTCTTATTTCCGCTCGAAGTCATTTTTCAAATTTATTCCCTTCATTAGAGCACGGAAGGTTAGAATCTTATGATCGGACAATGGCGGAAATGTCTGAATCATTTCTCTTCTTCGTAAATTTTTCGCTCAATTTTACTCTAAAATTTTTTTTAACACTTTGAATAAAAGGAGGAAAATTCCTCAGTGAATCGACTGGTTTCTTATCAATGGATATATAACTTCAAAATGATGTTAGCCAGTAACGAGTTTTCTAAATTTTATGGTGAAACTAAAAATGCTTGAAAAGTGAAACGAGTCTTCTGATGACATACAGATATCTTCTGATGGTAAATATTATATATACGGTATATACCGGNCGGTTGACGGATGCGCGTCGGTTTTTCTTTCTAGTTGACAGGTGTCCTTTGTCAACGATTTTCAACACATGTCTAGTTAGCATGAAAGATGTACCGGATGTGGAAACTCTTGCTGGTAAAGGACAAAGAGTTGGTCGACGGTGGAGAAGGTGAACAGCCCGTTCTTGAGAGCTGGAACTAATTTCCATGCGACTGAACGTTGAGAGGAGCAGTTCCAAAAACGCTCGTTGGTTTTGAAGGCATTTCCAAGTTTTGCGGAACGTTGAAGAAAATCTGTGTTTCTTTTAGTCCTGGCTTTCCTGGGAAAAAATTTTTTTTTAATTGTAAATTTCTTCGAGGCAACTCTTTTTATTGTAAAGGTACAGTTGATCTGCGTAAGGATTTGTTTAACATTTCTACGCATTGAAATGCGCAACGCATCAGAGGGATGTCGATTATTTTGGTGGATGGCTTTTTCATTCCTAATTTTTGTTTTAGTCTTGTTTAATGGACGAAGACAGACGCTCGATATTTCCATAGTTACAGTATAATGAATCATTTCCTGAAAATTACGTTCAACTGCAGCAGTCGTATGTCTTTGAAAATTTTCAGGAGGGCTTGTTGTTCAAGCTTACCTATGCCAACTGAT